TGTGTGTGTGTGTGTGTGTCTGTGTCTCTCGTGCGTCGGCTGGGAGGCCATCATCCCTTAAAACACATGCCAGAGTAGTTGGTGATTCATTCCGCTGTGCTGATTGATCAGAGACTGAAGCAGCAGGAGAGTGTGGATCTGCATCTGGTACAGTGTGAGCTGAGGGATATTCTCCTGCTCGTCTAAAATGAGCTGAATCAGCACAACTCTTGAGGGTTTTGGGGGCAACTTAATCTGTTTATGTTCGATCAACATTCATTTGTAAGTAGACGTGCGCTGCGTTAACTGGTTTGTGTCGACAACATGAAGGAGCGCAGCGTGTTCCCAGTGTGCTGCAGTCTGTGTGTTTGACCAGGCTGTGCTTTATTTACTGTCAGACGAGTCGCTCTGCCTCCCTCTGCAGCCAACACTGGAGAGAGCGGTGCAGACCAGATGAACATTATTACCTGACCATTACCTGCTGCATGCACACTGATCAGGCTTCAGTAGAGTCGACTCCTCTGAGACTGCACTGCTGTGGGCCACTGCGGCCCAGCAGGCTCCAGGTCCTCCATACTGCTCTCAGTACTGCTGACCCGTCTGCTGCTGCTGATACACTGAGTCACCAGATTCCACCATCCACCTTCTGCTGAATGGCCATCACTGGTGTATACATGAGCATCAGTGTGTGTGTGTGTGTGTGTGTGTGTGTGTCCACCCACCCTCTCCTCAGTGCACATCACTGGACCCCACTCTGCTGGATGTAGTCTGACCTCACCGGCAGCTCATTGGAGAGGAGAGGACCCCTGAGCTCATCATCTGGTCTCCTGCTGTTCTCTACATCACTGAGAGCCGTCCTCCAGCCACAGGCTCTCTCTGATCATCGCTACGCTGACGACACACAGCTCTGTCCCTCACTTCATCCTGATGAGCCCACAGTAGCTGCAGGATCTCAATCAATCAATCAATCAATGGTGGATCCTCCACCGTCACCTCATGCAGATCAGTGAGGAATGCTGGGGTGCTCCTGGAGGATCGGCGGTCCTTCACTGCTCGCACAGCTCCATCCTGCAGGTCTGCTCCTCGACATCAGTAGAGCAGACCCTGCTGCAGATCTCTGAGCTCTGCTCATCTGGAGGACGAACATCTGAACCCATGTGACTCCTCTCTTCACCTCTGCACACCGCTCGAGGATCCGACACACATCTCCATCTGACGAGGAGCAGAGCTGGAGGAGACCAGTGTTTATGATAGTGCTGCGAGCACTGATGGAGGAGCAATGATGGAGGAGAGCTGATGGAGGAGCGCTGACGGAGGAGCGCTGATGGAGGAGCGCTGACGGAGGAGCCCTGATGGAGGAGCAATGATGGAGGAGAGCTGATGGAGGAGCGCTGATGGAGGAGCAATGATGGAGGAGAGCTGATGGAGGAGCAATGATGGAGGAGCGTTGATGGATGAGCGCTGACGGAGGAGCAATGATGGAGGAGCGCTGACAGAGGAGCAATGATGGAGGAGCGCTGACGGAGGAGCACTGATGGAGGAGCGATGATGGAGGAGCGCTGATGGAGGAGCAATGATGGAGGAGCAATGATGGAGGAGCGCTGATGGAGGAGCAATGATGGAGGAGTGCTGATGGAGGAGAGCTGATGGAGGAGCAATGATGGAGGAGCGTTGATGGAGGAGCAATGATGGAGGAGCGCTGACGGAGAAGCGCTGACGGAGGAGCCCTGACAGAGGAGCCCTGATGGAGGAGCAATGATGGAGGAGCGCTGACGGAGGAGCGCTGATGGAGGAGCAATGATGGAGGAGCGCTGACGGAGGAGCGCTGACGGAGGAGCGCTGACGGAGGAGCCCTGACGGAGGAGCGCTGATGGAGGAGCAATGATGGAGGAGCGCTGATGGAGGAGCGCTGATGGTGGAGCAATGATGGAGGAGCGCTGACGGAGGAGCGCTGATGGAGGAGCGCTGATGGAGGAGCGCTGATGGAGGAGCGCTGATGGAGGAGCGCTGATGGAGGAGCGCTGCTGATGCTGCTGCTGTGGTGAGTTGCTTAGTAACGGGATGCAGGCTGGCGTCAGTGATGGAGGTAATGAGGGTTTGGGTGAGGCGGTGAATCTGAGTCAGACCTGCAGCTCTGACCTCTGGGGATCTTCAACATCAACAGATCACACACACACACACACACTCACAGCTGATCTGAGCAGTAATCTACACGGACTGTGTTGTCTATACACTCTTCAGTTACTGCTCTAATTAAACCAGCAGTCCTGTGTGTGTGTGTGTGTGTGTGTGTGTGTGTGTGTGTGTGTGTGTGTGGTGATGACGAGCCCTCTGCTGTTTTTATCTGCTCATTTATTATTCATTGTCGTGTGTTGAGTGCTGTGCTGTGATTGGCTGCTGTGTTGAGCTCCTCCAGTGGGTGTGTGTGTGTACCAAGTGTGCCGCAAGCCTGCGTTTGAGTGAAGGTCTCGGCCGTTAGATCGCCCCCTGGGGGCTGGCTGCAGTACAAGTCATAAAGCCC